ATTTTTTTCTAATTTGCATAATGAATTTTTCAAACATTTTTGTCTATTTAAAAAAAAGTACGTAAGTTATGAAGATGGTAACAATCAAAAATCTATTATAAATTTAATTCTACATTTTTAGACAAAAAATTAACCCTCTTGGCCCACGGCCCATTTTTGACACTATTACCATGCGTATTATTAACCTACAGTGTATATATACAAAGAATTTTTTCTAATAGGATAGAGTTGACTAACTGGTACTTGGTGTGGTGCTAGGTTTATCGCATTTATGGTTTAGGGGCCGCGGTTTACCTCCCTCCGTTTAGTCATGCTGGATCAGGAGTAGTAAACTCGGCGATCGTGGGTTCGATTCCCACACGGGGCAAGTTTTTTATAGTTTTTGATTTTTTTTTTTTTGGAGGTCGTGGGTTCGATTCCTACACGAGCCAGTTTTTTTTTTTTTTTTTTTTTTTTTTTTTTTTTTTTAAGGAGTTTAGTTGATGGTGGATAATGAATAGCAAACATGGAGGTTGTGTGTTCGATTCCCACATGATCTTTGCGTGTATGCTGTAACCATGGCTGTAAATTGCGATTGTTACAGCATGCAGGCAAAGATCGTACGCGGTGGATACCCTACGCGGCGCTATTTACACGATCTTTTGTTACATTTTCGCCAGTGACGTCATGGTAAAAATCGTGTATAATCGCCTAAAACTTCATAAAGAATAGCCAAAAAACGATTTTAAGGTTTATAATGAATATCACTTTGTATGGACAGCGTATTAGAATTCATATATAATCGAATATTTGCGCGCATGTGTGCTCACGTAAATTCCGTGCTCGCGTTAATTATTGGAATGAATTAGAATTTCTTTCAATTATCGTTAATTCGTCACATTTTAATTAACGAAGACTGAATACCCGACGTATTTTAATTAAAAATGTAAATTAACTAATAAGTATGTGTTTTATTATGCTATTCGTTCCCCTGAGATATATGTATATATATATGTGTATATATGTATATATATATATTATATATATGTGTACGCAAAGATCGTACGGTACGCGGTGGATACCCTACGCGGCGCTATTTACACGATCTTTTGTTACATTTTCGCCAGTGACGTCATGGTAAAATTGTGTATAATCGCCTAAAACTTCATAAAAAATAGCCAAAAAACGATTTTAAGGTTTATAATTAATATCACTTTGACAGCGTATTAGAATTCATATATAATCGAATATTTGCGCGCATGTGTGCTCACGTAAATTCCGTGCTCGCGTTAATTATTGGAATGAATTAGAATTTCTTTCAATTATCGTTAATTCGTCACATTTTAATTAACGAAGACTGAATACCCGACGTATTTTAATTAAAAATGTAAATTAACTAATAAGTATGTGTTTTATTATGCTATTCGTTCCCCTGAGATATATGTATATATATATGTGTATATATGTATATATATATATTATATATATGTGTATATATATGTGTATATATATATATATATATTTCTTCCTTAATTATATAAATTTAAAGCATTTATCAATTGCATTATTACACTGTTTACGTTCATCATTAAAATTTTATTTTTATTTTCTCATTCGCCTACATGCGTTCGGAAAGATATTTAAGCTAAATTAGAAAAAATAATAATTTTCGCCCTTTTCTGGAGACCTTTAAAAGTTGTTCACTAAACAATATTAAAAAATGATTCTTCTTAATTTCAATTGTTTGTACAGCCTGTATAAATACGAATGACAATGAAAATAAAGGTGATGTTTTATAATCTTAAAAATAATTTGCTCTGTCTATTGCATACTATTAATTATATAATTANNTTATATAATTATTATAACTTTATTTTGGAAACGACGCTTTTAAAACAGCAGACACGCTCTTGCAGTGTGTTCATAAAAGTAACACACTGTACAGCCATAATACAATATTAAAAAAGAGACGAGACTTTTAATACGATAAAATGTACGTTACACGATTACACAAGTTGAATATATCACAGATCCTGTATATCATTTAACACTTACAATTTACATTTACAGCAAAGCACAATTTATATATTGCGGCCAACTAACCTATAGTATTTTAATATTTATAAATAATAATAATCAAATTAATAACATAAGATTTGTATAGGGCTCGCTTATATTCAAATTTAAAGAGCAACAATCTTTTAGTCTGAGAGTAATTTCCAGCCATCTAGTCCTGACAAATACACCCCTAAGTTACAATAATTGGCAGACTCTGGGGGGAAAATTGATATGTTGTAGAACTGATTTTTCTAAGAAAGAAAAAAGTTGTTTGACGAAAAACTGGTTAACGGTGAACGTGATACAGTTTATTGAATATTTAAAAGCTGGAAGCTGGGGGGGGGGGGGGAAAGGGGCGTAACAGCACATTTTTACCCATTTTCCTCCCAGTTTATTCAAAAATCTGTATCTCTCGTTTTTGATCAAACTACTTTTTCTGTCTTAGAAAAATCAGTTCTACAACATATCAATGTGTTTTTTTCTTCCGGAGCCTGACTTTAAAAGAATTAGGAATATCGAAGTAACCCAAACCACTTCTGGCATTGTAACCAGACTTAATAATAAAGAGACTTATCAACATATCGGCGACTCCGTAATGATAATGAATATTTGTTGCATATGAATGAAACAGAATTGCCGAATTGAACGTTTCCAATAGTAATGTTTCTATTTTGATTATGTTGCGTTATGTTTTTTTTTTTTTTTTTTTGTCAATCGCAGTCAAAGTTCCATCATTGTCAATGTATATCTTTTGTGCTGACGGGAGCCCTAACTTTTCCCAAATTTATTATGCCGAATATTTCTGATTACACACGACAACTTTCCGATTGTCCTTGTGGTTTGGTAATTGACAGCTTGATATTAATTAAAATTTACAAAAATATTGCGAAGAGGAACATCTTAAGCTAAAATTTGAAGATAAAACAAATAAAAAATACAAATAGAAATAAGTAAACATACGAATACAGACAAAACACAGAACACAGGTACAACAGAAACACACAGACAGAACAGAGCAATTAAAAACATAGCTAGACAATACAGAACAGAAAAAAACACATAAAAATACATACAGAACACAGAACAAAGGTGAGAAAAAAACACAAACAAGACAAAAAATCAAAAACAAAGAAAAAGACAAACAAAGGAATAAAGAAATTAACCCACCCTTGAAAATAAGCCACTTGGTATTATGGATTAAAGATTGCGATAAGCTGGTTTTGAATAAACTAAGGCTCTAGTGAAAAATATCGACTGACCTAAAATTGTGAGAAAGGTTATTTAAAAAGTTGGCTTGCTAAAAAGAAAATCTTATTCAAATTAGAATGGGGGGGGGGCTTATTCAAACG